CCAACTTCTTAGCAGATGGAGACTCTGTTCCTACTGAATTTCCAGGTGCTGGCAGGTAAGGCATTCTTGCACCAAAGATCTGAGCACTCACCAAGGCTACAGGGCCCACTTAATCCAGACATGGCAACAAGGAAAACTCAACCATTGCTGTGGTGACACCATAAGAAAGGTGAATAGACCTACCCTCAGGGAGCTTGTCTTGCCTGGGAGAGCAGAGATTCACACGCCTACGTGATGGATTGTAACCTGTGATGTTGCTTTACCACATCCATTGAGTGTCCCCATCACAGTGCCACCTTCTTTGGGTTTGAGTGAAAAGTGTAGGAAGTCCAGGTTGCAAGGTGGTTTGAGGAGTCTGAGCTAGGCAGCAATATCCCCAAGTCATCTGCAACTCCCAGCTGACTAACTATCTGTGTCCTGGTGAGAGCTGGGTGTGCTTTATGACATAGGTGGTCATGTCACCAGGAAAGATGGTAGGCGCTTTCATTATGGCTGGGTCAACAATTTATCCACATGGAGAAAGGACATAAGTCCCGTGTTATCTGGCCAGTCTCCATTTGTGCCTGGGATTGTAACACACCTGCATGCTATTTGGTGTAATGTTAGTCCCACTCTCTTCAAAGGTGTGCTTTTTGGGATGACAATTGACAAGGCCACAGTGTCTGTGAGCCCAGGGGGCAGGACTCAAGCCTGACTCACCTTGTCTGTTACTTACTGGTTAAACAGCATTCACAACCCAACTTACTAATACCTAGAGAGCCCCAGGCAACTGTTACCCAGTACCCCAACTTCTGAGCTGGTGGGGGTGTCTCCCCCACCTTGAATCACAAACCATCCAATGTCTGTTTGCTGGAGTCTCACCTTCTCCAACTCTCTCATCTCATTTCATCTCTTGTCCTCTTGTCTGGCCTCATCCTCCCATTTTTTGTGTTTTCCTGAATATTTCCCATTGTTTACCATACATGTTGACTACAGTTCTAATCAGAAAACACCAAATATGATCACACCTGGGACATGGTGATAATGCCTCCTTCACAGTTTTACTGTGAGGATTTAATAGACTTGCTCAGGGCCCAGCACCTCTTTGGAACTCAGTAAATGATTCAACTTGAGTCCTCCCCTCTCCCCCTTCACCACCCATCTTATCCCTGTTGGGTAAATTTGCTCCGCTTCTGCTCCCCTCCCCCAGCTCTGTGTCCGGTTCCCATGCAGCCTGCCCACTGAGCCCATCATCTGTGTCTGTTCAGTTACCTTCCATTATATCACTTGCATTGCTTCCCAGTCATAAGTGTTGCATTTGGCTGGGTGCGGTGGCTGATGTCTATAATCCCAGCACTTTGAGAGGCCGAGGTGAAAGGCTTGCCTGAGTCCATGGGTTCGAGACCAGTGTGGGCAACCTGGCAGGACCTCAGCTCTACAATAAATCAAAAATTAGCCAGTCATGATGGCACATGCCTGTAGTTCCAGCTACTTGGAAGGCTGAGGCGAAAGGATCACCTGAGCCCAGCAGGTCGAGGCTGCAGTGGCCGTGAGCATGCCACTGAACTCCAGCCTGGGCAACAGAGTAAGAATCCAACTCAAAGAAAGAGTGTTGCAGTAGAAGTTTTTAAAATACAGAGATGATAGGAAATAAATGGGCAATGAACCACATATAATCTTACTATTCAGACATTAGCTTTGTTCTCTTTTTAATGTATTGACCTCAAAACATTCATATACACATGTACACACAGTCTCTTTCTCCCTCTGTACATGCATTTCTTAGAGGTACAGTGAGTTAATTCCATCTGCCTTAATGTTGAATGGCTGAGCATCAAAGCCAATGTTTGGCTGTGAGTGGGGCTGAAAATTACCATCATGGAATGCAAATTTGACATTTTAACAAAAATAGGTATTATAATTACTGTAGTACTATTATTTATCAGCAGTAATCACATTATAAAAGTTAGGCACCTGGGCCAGAAACAGTCGTATCTGGGCACTGTCCACTGTTCAATTACTCTTGTGCTTACCAGGCTGAAATTTACAACACTAAATAGACCTTTGTTTGCAATTGAGTTTGGTAGAGAAACAAGATATGTTGGTTTTCTTTATTATGTCTGGATCAACGATGATTTATTAGGTGTGTGATAGTGTGATTTTAGAGGTTTTACCCCTTTTGAATTTCTGAGGTAGCACAGTTGAAAAAGTTGGCCATTACTTCGTTCTTGTAAAGATATGAAAACTTCCCAATAAGACTTTTTCTTGAAAGATGCATGGTCTAAACAGAAACAAATAAAAAAACTTTTAAATCTTGAAGCTTGCTTATTGTTGTGAAAGAGAGTTTACCAAACAACTCCACACATATATGAATTATAATATACTCTAGTCATCTCTTTTATTCTGCTTTGTCTAATTACTTATGGTTCTATGCACATCTTGACTCAGAAAGATAAAACAGCCTTTGTAAAGGTAGCAAGCTAAAGTGTTCTCCCTCATTGTGTTTTTTCTTTTCCTTTTATATTTAACTATGTGTTAAAGTTCTTAATAATTGATTTTGTGCATAAAATTAATAGCTTCCCATATGTTCAAGGATTATTGCACATTTAATTCTTGCAATAATACTTTTGTATTTATAAACCATTTGATTGGGATAATTGAAATAGGTATTATATATACAAGATGATTTTCAATTTTTACATTTGAAAGTGAATATTCAAGCCGGGCTTGGTGGCTCAGCCTGTAATCCCATGCTTTGGGAGGCTGAGGTGAGTAGATTGCCTGAGC